ATTATACGTAAATATTTGAGCCTAAATTACTTTTATTAAATTTTATTCCAATCCAATAAGCGTATATTGTTAAATCTCAAAATCACTAATTGATCTTCAATTTCAAATTTTTAAGACCATAACCTACAAAAATCCTTATATGTTTTAATTTAATTCCTTGATTGATTTCAAAGTTTTCATATATTTTCATTAAATACACAAACAAAATACTAAAATCTCATCCACAAATATATTGCTAAACTCAAAAAAATTTAAAATTTATAATCTTGTTTTATTTTTTAAAATCTAAATCTATCAAATATATAATTAATTTTAAAAATCTTGTTGAAGATTTACAAGTATTTTCTTAGAGATTAAGCATAGTATATTGTTAATAGTCAAAAGACAACAAAAAATTAAAAGAAGTTACTATGATAGCACATAGGATTTATTTGGATGAAGTAGAAATGGATGTAATATCAAAAGGATGGAAGTTGCCTTGTTGGTTAGCAAACCACCAGCTATAAGTAAAAGGTGTTGGAAGTAAGAGTTATCTTATTCTACACTTCTAATTGTGTACAAATCTTGTTGATGCTAAGTGTTTGTAGCTTTTAGATTTTTTTTTTCAATAGATTATGGTTCCACTCACATTTTCTTGAGTATTTTGAAGTTCTTTGAAGTGGTTGTTGATGTGTGAAGTAGATCAAGTTGTTGTTACTGATGTTAGAATTTAGAAATACCTAACTTTCAGATTCAGATCTAGATCTAGATCTTGGTTTGCTCTTATTTGTGGTTAAGAGCATTTTGGTATTGGTATTTGGTTCTTCACCTTAAGACAAAGTTATAGAACACTTTCATTGTGCTCTTGCTGAGATAAATTGTTGGTGGTCTAATTTTGTAGTTTCGTATTCTAAACATGTTGATTGTGCTTAAAAGGTCTCTCATAGTATATAGAGGTGATTTGTAAGTATAAGAGTGATATTTGAGTGGCAAGTCAGATTTGAGACATTAAGATAGGTCATTAGACTTGTGAAAAGCCTTAGAAGTAAAGTTGAGAGTGTTTTCGAAAGTAAGAACTTCTAAGGTGAAAATTTCTACCATTAGAAGGTAAAAATAGAGCTTTTATTGGCATCTTTGGATCTTTAGGATATTGTAGATGAAAGTAAAGACACTCCAAGCATAGGTGCTGATATGGAGGAGAAGAAGGAGTTCAAATGTCGTGAAAAAAAGGCTTTTGGATTAATTGCAACCAATGTAGATGAAGCCAATTTCTCCCATATTATCTCTTGCAAAAGATGAGTAAAAGCATGGAAGATTCTTTGCAACATCTATGAGAGCAAGAACTTATCGAACATCATCTATACATGGACAAAGTTCTTCACTACCAAAATAGAAGAAGGTGAAGACCTCATAGCTCATGTCAATAAGGTAAAGGCTCTTGCAAACCAACTAGCAATTGTTGTCAAACCTTTAGAAGAAAGTGATATTGTCATGACCTCGATGATGAGCCTTCCTGAATCCTACAACTATTTCATTATGGCATTCGAGTCCATTAAGCTAAAAGAACTTATAATGGACTATGTGATGGTAAGACTTGCCCGTGAAGTAACCAAAAAGAAAGAAAAGAAGCCCTAAAGTAAAGATTCAATACTCTATTCACGTCAAGGCAAGGACAACTATCAAATCAACAAGGTAATGTCAAATCTTCCATTATTTGTGGCAAAGTAGGCCATTTTGCTCAAAATTGCTATAAAGGCAAAAAGATGAAAAAAGAGAATGCAAATAGTGTGGTAGATGAGTTTGTAAGACAAGATTATGCATTCACGCCAACAAATAGGATCTCTATGGCTGCCACGTTAAGATGGATTGTGGATTCAGGTTATTCCAAGCATATAACACCTTATGAGTGTTCATTTGGTACTTATGAGGCTATTCTAGTATCAAATGTGATATTGGCAGATAGTAATACATGTGAAGCCATTAGAAATGGCTCTATTATAGTGAAGGTGGTTTTGAATGGATAAACCAATAAGAACAGATTCAAAAACGTCCTTCACGTACTTAAGATGAAACAAAATCAACTTTCGGTGACTGAACTTGTAGTGGAAGGTTTTAAAGTTTAATATTCTCAACAGATGAAGCAACTTTGAAAGGATTCGAATTTGAAGAGACTTTGTAAAAAACAACTTTCGTGAAGCTTCGATGAGGCAAATATAAGGCCCTGAGCAATCAAGCCTAAATGGTTGGTTTTTCTTAAGCGAATTATTTGCTGGATGATACAAACCACCTCCTTCAGATAAGGAAGAATAGTAAGGCGAGGTGGGCTTTAATTAAGGGGTTCGACGATTGAGGTAAGTCTTGAAGAAGAGCAATCTTCTTTGACTCGTATTCGAAAGTGCAAGATTTCAAAAGTGACTAATGAGAGAGAAACTGAAAGAAAGCTAGGGACGAGGTACACAAGAAACGCAAGAAGGAATAGCGGTCCATCTCAATAAAAAGATAAAAGATTTCTCCAAAGAGTTTAAAGGTGAACAATGGAGGAAGCTGGGCAGAAAAAAAAGCCTTCACATTACCTAAGTGGCGAGAGTATCAATTGTGCTAAGAGTACTCGAGAGATTAGATGGAATGAGTTTCATCCTCAAAAAGATTAATTTTCTTAAAAACATTATTATCATTGTCAATGAGGACATTGACCTCCTTAAACAGGAAGAGGATATAAGAAACTAAATTAGGCAGCTCTTATGCTAGTGAAAGCAATAAGAGCTGAGAGTTGCTCAATGCTCAAGGATAATTTGTAGGGATGTGACTTAAGGAGAAGTTGAGTGGATCACCTTCCTCGATCCAAAAGAGCTTTCGTATAGCGATGTGAAATGAGTCAAGGGACTTAAGTACTCCGGATCTTGGGTGCCTTGAAGGGTGCATGCGATCCTACTCATAGGTAGCATGAGTGTCGAGTAGATAGTCTACTCCAAAAGAATGTTGTCGTGTTGTGATTCGGCTACTATATGAAAATAATGTAATTATGTACTTAATATATAATTTATTAAGTAATATGGTGAGAGCCATACTAGTAGATTTTAGTTGGTTGTAGAATATAATTTGATTATTACCTTGAGAAGAAGTTGTTTAAAAATATTACTAGAGAACTTGTATAACTTTAATTTCCTTTTGATAGTGGCTTTTAAGATTGGTTTTGGTTGATAGTAACTTCTAAATATTTAGAGTCACCTTGTTAGACATTGGTGACCTTTGGAAACTTATTTTAGTTCTTTTATTTGATGTTTAGAGCATAAATTATGTAAATCTTATAAGAAAAAGGATTGAAGAAGGGTTTTGGTAGCAAAGGGAGTAATTAGGGCACCAATATAGATGAATGGAGATGAATGATGAAAATCTCCATTCCCATTAATCAAAAATCATGACCAATGGGCTTTGAGGAGGCTACCTGAGGCCATATTAGGGATTAGGGTTAGTTTTTCGGATCCATTTGAGTTTTGAAGGCTAGAATTAGAAGGTTTAGGTTTTTGGCTATGGTTTTGGTGGAAGTTTTGTATGGTTTGGAGTTTATATGAAGGAGATATAAGTGCTCAAAGTTAAGGTGTTGATTTGGGAGCTACCGTCACTCTTTTTGTCATAACGCACGGGTACAGATAGCAATTGAGGATCGACGACTACGACTGGAGAGAACACTTTTGCGGCTACACTTTTTACACATTGCTTACTAGATTCTAAGTTAAAGTGAAGGAGTTATTGGATTTTGAAGTCAGCACATGCAATCTAAGGGTAGTAAGTGACCCGATTTGCTAGTGGTTGTCTCTTGAGCTATATCTTGAGAAATTTGACAAGTTTTTGGCTCAAAATTTTAGGAAATGTGTAATTTAATGTTAGTAAACTTTATGCATAAGTTTTATGATATTTAAGTATTGGATTCTTGAGATATTAAGAAAATATTGTTTGGGTGCTTATAAATTAGGGTTTAGAGTTTCTGTTTGGGTTTCTTAGATGCCAAAAGATCGGGAGCGAATTTGTGGTTGATTTTGTTTTTGATATAATTCAAGGATGCATTCTACCTATCTTATAAATTTGAAACAAACTGAACGGTTAGATCAAGAGTTATGATTTTCTAAAGTTTGGAACAAGGAAATCCTTCGTAGGAAAAATATGTTTTGAAGGGATTTGTTATATTTTGAGTTTTATGCAAAATAAAGGAGTTTTGGGAGGCTAATACAAGATTCATATAAAGGTTTAAGGTACACTCTCTACAGCTAGATACCCAGAGGGAAGTGACCCCTTAGTCCTCTTGGACGTAGTCTACATGATGGTTGCTCGTGGAAGCAGACGGTGCGAAGAAGACTAGAGGTAGTCTTGTCAAACGCTCTCTCTTTCTATACATATATATATATATATATATATATATAATTTTATTGATTTAAAGAAAATATCCTAACTTTCTAATATAAACAAAAATATGTATTGATAAAACTCAAAAATAATGACTTATAAGTGAATTTAATCAAATTTCTATAAATATAATTATAAACTCAATTGATATATGCAAAATTGAAAACTGCAAAAGTAGCCCCTAACTCTTAAACACAAATAGAAAAACTCATATTATTAGAAAATGAGCTACATAATATAATGAGCTTGAAAAAACATTTACATAATATGATGTAAGTATAAGTTATTTTCACTTACTTCAAAAATAAAGTGAATGTAAGTTACTTATTTCAAAAAATGTATTAAAGTTGTATATACTTATATATACATATACCTTTATTAAAAGCTCATTTACAATAAAGAATTTTAAAGTAGAATTAAAAGCAACCTTTTGAATAATAACATATAATATATTATATAAATTGGCAATGAAATTCTAGTTTTAAGATTTTAACATTGATTTTAACAATAGAAGTTAATATAAAAATTAAAATAATATTTTTTTAATATGAACAAATATATAAGATATAACTATCAAAACAACAAAAAACTCATTCATATTGTACATAAAAAAACCAATATTGGTCGAAATATTAATAACATTATTTTATAAATAGAGAAAATCGAGTTACATATTATATTGCACTATGACCCATAGCAAAACTTTACTGATTCTTTGAAATTCCTGAATATTTCAACTTATTTACTTCACAAGTTCATGAAGTGTCCAAAAATTGTCATACCTTTCCAATTGACATTTCTAAATTACTGAGTTGAATCTATTTATGCTAAGTTGAATCCACGACTTGAAATAAGCTGGGTCCTTTCCCTTATTATACATGGATCAGGACATTCCTGGTCTGCGTTGAGTGCAAAATTACAGGTTGCGTTTGAAGCTCTGTCTTTCATTAAAAACCCCTTAGCACACCTATGACTCAAAACTCTGGGGCTTACTGCTGGCGAAGATATTCCAAACCAGTGCACCAGTTAAGTAAAAGAAAATTGATGGTACAAAAAGAGCCAACTGCAAAACCAACAATGTACAAGACTTAGAATGATTCTGAACAACTAGAATTAGCAGCGCAGCAGCAGAATAGTTTAGAGCAAATATACGTTGAATACTGTATGATATGGTAGCTCGATTTAAAAGTTCGAGAGATTAAGAGATAGCAAATAAACAGAAACCACCAATACTACATCCTAATACCTTGCATGATCTGATAACATAGGAGAGGAAAATCGATAAAAAGTTTATCACCTAGAAGTATCTGCCTACAGCAAGGTCATTACAATGAGAGCATTGAGAACACAGATTCTAGTGGTATTACTTACATTCCATGATTGAGTTCTATCCAAGATGATCCCAACAAGTGCAACGCCTAAAACTCCTGGGATTGCTCCTATAGAATTCGTTATCCCCTGCATTCATCGTTCATCAACGACAACAAGAGTGTGACATAACTGAAAAGTTCATGATAATGTTCTCCTATTCATTGCTAGATAGATGATTGCTATATTACTGAGTCAGCTCCACTTAGGCAACAGCTGTTCGGAGGTCCCGATTCCCAAGTCCAACACACGTGCAAGAACTTGTACATTTATAACTTAAATAATGATTAACTAGCATATGCTTCATGAGAACCATAGGACTTTTGCGCGCTGTACATGCTTCCGCTTCAGTCATACGAGACCTTTCAAATATAAAAGACACAATATCCAAGAAAAATTCAAACCATAGTTCGGGTAAAAGAGATTTTTGAAGTACATAAATAAAGGAAAGCGTACCAGGAGCACACTTGCATACTTCGGAGAGATGTCCTGGTGTGTGCAGTACAACCCTGCATATCACAACCAACGTCAGCTGGTGCGCTAAATTCTCAGTTATCAAGACTGAGGCTTGATATGTAGGATACTGAAATTCGTATCGGTTTATGAAGATTCAAGCAATCAATGCTCTTCAAATGGCTATTATATATACTCTGGTTTGCAATAAAAGAGTTTTCTGATTCCTTCAAACGAAAACACCCAAGTAATACACTGATGCAACGGCAGAAACAATTGAATGGGTGATGTAGAAATTGTACCAGCAAGAGTAAAACTTGACAGACCAAGGCCCGCAGTTAGAATTGCAACGTCCACCCAGGGGTTAAACTTTGGGGATAGGGCGGCAAATGCCATGCATGCCGCAGGGGATAAAAACCCGATTGATTGACAGACTTTTCTAACCTGCACACACAAGGCAAACCTTCGTCTATTTTAGAGTACAATTCATTTCAGCTTACACTTAACCTAGTGACAAGCACAAGCCTGAAAGAAAGACAGAATCTCTGTCGGATCCCTCGATATTCTTCGAGGCTGTCAGGTAACGTAGCCAATATCATATTATGCGGAAGGTAATTCTGCACTCTTCACACGGAGCATGACATTTCATCAACAACCCATAACATCCCTGATTAAAATTTTCACTCGAGGCCAGAATGCTCACTACAAATATACAGTAAGATTACAGGATCTTACTAAAGTAATGTCATATCCACGCGAAATGAAATGATCGGCAAGAGGAGCCGCGACACTAGTCACCGCAACGGAGGCCAGGGGAGGAAGTATGGACACCTGTAATTTCCCATGAAGATGCAGTTCAAAATTCAATGCCATTCAACACATTCGCTACCGTAATTAATCTAAAATATGACATATTATAAAACAAACAAAAACATGCGTGTGAAGTGTGTCATTAAACCACATCAAATAAATGAATTCTAAGATAGAAACTCACTAAAGCTGCATGAGTAAGATCGAGGTGAAGCTCTTGACTGCAATGGGCAAACACTTATCATTATCAGCTTTAAACTCAAATCTGCAACCTTGGATAATTGTTAAAGAAAACCGCGCTTGAGACGAACAACGGTGGGAAACGATGAATTTTACAATATTTAAACAACTTCCATATCGATTTGTGTTTCGTAAAACTCACCTAAAATACGTCGGGAGCCAAGAAAGAAGAGTATAGTGTCCCCAATTCCCACAAAAATGTGCATAGATCATGGCCCACACAGCAGAGCTCTTGAAAAAAGCCTTCCAAGGAATATTCTATAAAGAAGAATCTTAAGAAGCGTGAGCATCAGGTGGACCACACATAAACGTGCATAATAAATCACATGCAAAATACCATTATGAACCTCTTAAAAGAAGTGCTCAAAAGAAAAGAATAAGTGGCCGATAGTTTACGTTTATTAATTCAACGAAGCGAAAAAGAAATTACCCATCACTTGATCGTCGAATTAGTTATATGTGGTCGTGAAAAATGACACCATCTAAAATAATAAACTTTTCAAATCCTTCATCCGAGCTGAGTTGGACACCAGGGCAATAGCCTTAAATCAAACACTCCCGTTTCCACAACAAATATGTTGAACCCAAGGGAAAAGGACCCAAACATGTGATTTCTCAATTAAGATATGTTGAGCAATTCACCTTATCAGTGGACGTGTTGGCTTCAGCAGATAACTGCGATTTATCATTGGACACCTCCATAGATTGTGTTTTCCTTGCCCGCAAATCACCGTTCACACTACCGTGGGCACCATGCTCGTTGCCTTCCACTGTTACATTGAATTCACCATGACATATTAAATGTGACACACACGTCGATTACGCTAGGTTACTAGGACAATTTAAGTGTTAAAGATTAACTAAAAGTTACTTCATTATTTAATCAATATGTAGAAGACAGGTTATAAACAACTTACCAGATTTTTCTGGAGTGGGTGAAGGAGGTTCTGAAATAGTAGATTTGTTCCCTAACATAGAAGAACCTACTGCACTTTCAAACAGCAGGGACCTGCTCAAAGGTTCAAAAACCACGGACCAAGTCATCAATATAATTATCAATTACCTACATCTCTTACGCAGGTAATATTCGTAACAGAAAATGACCAATACTTGCAGGAAACATCTGGAGTGGCCACAAGCATTCAGGATTAAGATGTGATCCATACCATACAACTCCTAGGAAGCCGAATGCATAAAAGACCGATTCCCAGCCGAAAATCTCGATCATGATTGGGGCTAGAAGGAGCCTGTTTCCATCATGCACAATTTATATGTAATTGGGACAGTGTTCCTCTTCGCGTTACAATTCAATTCAAGAAGTTGATGCACACTCAAAGATAGACAAGTTTAGCTGATACTCATGCACGTTGATAGAAGTTGATAGCAAACAAATAACTGATTCGAGTATTAGAATATACAATAAAAGAAGACGTGGTCTGGTGCAGTTCAAATAGTAGTACTGAAAATCATGAAGGATATCGAAGGGAATATGAGTGTGTGTACCCAACAACACTACCAACGTTAAGGCCGCCAAAAACCGTAGCCACAGCTCTAGAGCGCTCACTCACAGGCATAGCTCTGCACACCTCCCAAGTTCCCTAGTTAGTTCAAGTCTTCCCCTGGAAATAGTGTGACCAATCATGAACCAAACAAACCAATTTATAGTTTATAGCAATGTCCTCAATCCCCAAGGTTGAATGACTTATTACTTCTGCCCAGGTGTAATGAGCAAAATCGTCCAGCGAAAAACATCCTCACTCGGGTGCCAAAGGTCCGGTGTAAAGTGAGTAGCACTTGAATCTGCAAGAATCACACTTTATAGTATGTGATGCACAATATGGAAAAACATTCACTGGGAAGATACCTGGCTATCAGATCTGTGGCAGCTGATGGTGAGACTCCTTCCCCTAGTCCAACCTGCTCTCCACAGAAAATAGTTGGTCATTCACTTGCGAGCGACGCAATTGAGATGTAGCAATTATCCCTCGTACATGAATTTATAATTATTTCATAAAAAATAGCCGCAGCGAGCATATTGTTAAACAGAGGTAATGTCTAGCTCCTATTAGTTGCTATAAAGGCAAGACATCATTCTCTAACGTATTAGCAAGTAGTATGAGTTGAAGAGTCAATCTTTTCCGACGGATAAATAGCAGGTTACAAGAGCATAGAACGACAATTCATCTGCAATATTTTGTTCTTGTCATTGCTCATTAGCAGTAGTAAGAATGCAAAAAATATATTCAAACAGTTGCTCGCAAAGTGGCAATCCATTAACTAACCGCGAAACGGGAAAAAAGAAGTAGCGGTAGTATTCTTGCTGTACTTGGCACGATTGCTGTTGCCAACGACCAAATCAACACTCCCGCACGCAGCACTCTCCTGTACAACCACCACAATCAGAACATCCTCTTCAAACACGTGGCTAGCAAGCGAACGGCACACATACGTTTAAAGAAATGAAAATGAGAGTAAAATTACCACATATATATGGTCAGAGAATTTCCACAATGAATAAAGACAAATTACAATTAGTACAAAAGCCGTGCTCAGTGAAATAATTGACTAGCGGCTGCAACATACAACTCTATTATTGCTATAGGGATTATTTTGACAAACAGATGTCTTAGTGAAGAATTTTACTCAGGGGAAGTACAGAGATAAAACTCACTGTCCAGAGAACGCTTTAGCAAGCCATCCACCGGGAAGTTGACTGATGCAATAACCCCAAAAGAAGGACGATTGGACCAGTCCTGCAGTAGTAGAGCTCCAGCCCAGCTCATGGGACATCGGAATAATGGCGACACTCATATTAACCTGCACAATAGTTGTGATTCAGTGATCTGTCTTGCCAAAAACATGGTTTCAGGGGCTTCGGGAGATGCCCAATTAACCATTAGTGCTTAATCCGGTCGACTACGTCAAAATCAGGATAACACAATGACAAGCATAGTCACATCCTACTTCAGGGGTGAAGGGAGAGTACACATGCAGGGTGCCAGCACCAACTCAATAACACCAAATCATCTATACCAGTGCGGAGACTATAATAGTTGCTTGTTGCAATACTTCCAGACCGTGCAAGAACACTCGCTAAAAATCATAGCGCGCTAAACCATCCCTTCTCAATGCGTCACCTTGGACTGTGACCAGAACTCTTCACTATTTTAGACGACCTTCACCAAAGCCCTAGGATACTTAAAAGTGACGGCACCGCAACACTAATGAATCCATCCATTACCAGCTCCAGCTACAACTTACAAATGGAAGTCTCATGAATGCGTAGGTACACGACCCACCTTATCCATGTTGCATATAACGAATGCAAATGCGGTAGTCAGAATTAGCTTGTATCTTGGAGGCAAACTTCTCCAAGACTTGCTGGAGCCTTGCAGCTCTTGAGTGAGCTTTATATCCTCTGGAACAACCTGAGACTTTTCACCATTCTCTTCCCCATCCTGTACGTCGATCTCCCTTACTGGAACATCCGGAGGTGAAGCGTAAACTGGACTAATATACACTCTCTTCTCATTACATCCCGGAAATTTATTGTTGTTACACAATGGAGCAGATTTTCTACTCTTCACAGACGACCTCTTTCCAAGTAATAACTGGTGCGGAACCCTATTAATCGAAAAACGGATTCCACTTTGTCGCTTCCCCTTACTAATGTGTGATAGAAACTCTAGAGCACCAGTTTGTACTAAACAAGACGGATGCACAGCAGTCGAATTCAAGTCGAGTCCCCTCATGGCTTCAGCTGTGTGTAAGACACGATTCAATCGATTCACCAATTACTACAAAAAAAAATACAAATTCTCGTTGGAAATTCTCAGAAGTGAATATTCTGTTCAAATTAATAGCTAAATGCTCAGATTCCAGAATGATCTTCACAATTGAAAACTCAAGAAACCTCCCGAGTACAGGATCCGTGTTTCCAACCGCTACAAAGCCGGATCAGCGGCTGCGAACCTCTCAAGCATCCAAATGCTTAGAATCTGCAACATGCGTATTCAACAAGCAAGTACCAAGTGAGAACGTCAAACCTACCAAACACCACAAAACTGCCCCTCGCAATCGCAACGACGACAACTACAACAGCAACAACAACCGACGCGAACCGAATCCCTTCGCCCTTTCCAATGCACCTTAACGCGAGCTCCCTCAACGCCGCCACAACATTCCGAAGCAAAACAATCACACTCAGCATAACCAACCTTCACATTCTATCTAGGCATAGCACTAACTAACCAATCCAACACATGGCCTCCCACACCAGCTTCGCTAACGAGAATTCGCAGCGAGACTCATGCACATCAGGGAAGAAAAAACCTTAAAAAAACACACCTTCCAACACCAGGATTTCCTCCTGAAATTCACACGGTCCACACAACCAGCCCAAACCCAGCTCCCAAATTCATTGCCCACCGCAACTCAGGCAGCAACAGCCTCACAGTTCAATTTGCTCGAGGTGGGCTTGAATCCAATTGTCGAGGGGGGATCCATTCCTTGAGAGCCCCAAGGCATCAAGAGTGGAAGAAGAAGAGCCCTTGAGCCCCATGTAGAGAATGCGAGAAAAAATCTTTAAATACCTCTTGATTTCTTCTCAAGATGGAGGGCGAAGATGTATCCTTGTAGGATCCGACGATGATCAGTATATACACGGATGACGATCGGAAAGAGGAAGCGTGAAAGACGTGTGGATACTGGGTCCCCCACGTGGAGACCACCGGAGAGCTCCCGGGTCCTCGTTTCCAGTTTCGGCTGATTTGAAGCCACCAGGTGGATTTTTAGACAACATTTCCATCCAATCATTCATCCAACATTCATCCTCAATTACCTTTTTACAAAAGTGGTTCGGTGACTTGTAAACGCCAGAGTGTGTTTGCAAATAACTTTCCCATTAAAGTAACATACCACGGAAGAGAAGCTGTGAAGGGTCTTGGTCATTATTGGCTGGAAAACTTTTAGGTGTCTTGTTCTAAGTGAGTATTTAAGTTTCTAAGTATAATATTGATTTAGATGTATAATATATTAAGGGGAATGTTAAATCGGCCCCAGCATTTACTAAATTCACTCACCTATTAAAACCATTGTTGTACCCCAATACACTTAGATTTTGGTCTTCTTTGTATCTTATGATACTTTCTTGTTTTCCTAGGATTTATTTTTTAATATAATTTATTTCTTTTGGGTGCATGTCTTATTAAAAATATAAATAAATAAATAAATTTTAACATTTTTTTATTTTTTTAATTACAAATGTGTATATAAATAAAATCACATACATTTAAAAATTCACAGTTTCATATATTTGTGTTTATATACACACATATAAGATTTTATAATTGAAAAGGGCCAAAAAACCCAAAAAAAATCAATTTTTAAAATAAAATAACATAACAATGGTAGAAGTTGAACCAACCCAAAACAACCATTTGAAGGAGGGTGCTAAGAATTTCTAGAGGACATACTTAGCAATATTCTACGGAAAGTAAACTAAAATTCTTCTTATAAAAGAATATTCTGAGTAGTATGGTCTTATATGTCTATGTTGGTTAATACATACATAATCAATCAATTAGTTAAAATAACATTTATTCAAGAGCAAATAAGTCAATATTAACAATATCATCTAAAAATATATGATGGTAACATAGAATAAATACATGTGACATTGTAAAGTTACAAAAAAAATGGTATTTTTAAGGATTATTTTATACTTGTTGACAAAAATGACCTCATATGTTACTAAATTTTTGAACACTCCTTGATGTATTGCTAAAGATATTATTTAAGATTAGTATTATTATTGTTATTGGTGTTATTTTTATTTTATTTCAACTTTAAAACACATTCGAAACTTGTATTTTTTCTAATATAACAGTTAGAATTTAACCTCCATGTTACATAAATAGCACCCTGATTTTATGTTTCACCATAGTTAGAATTTTTGACTAGCTAACAATAAATTCATTTTATTCAATCATTTAAAAAATCAACTTCTCATTCATTATAAAAAATATTTGTAATTGTGGAGATGGTTTTTTATGCCTTTTCTTTTATATTGTGCACAAATAGGAACAAGGGACGGGGGGTTGAGATGGAGGGTACAATGATGATTTTGATAGGTAGGTCAATTTAGTAAACATTGGGTTCAATTTAACATTCTTCTTTATTAATGTTTCCTTTCTTTTTAAGGCACCAGATGTATGAATTCTAGAATTCTCTAATTTACAAAGTTTTTAGTACATTAACTATCAAATTTCATAGTTACAACGCAAGGAAAAATTAGATATTTTGTGAAATTATTCAATTATATGTTATTGTCAATATTTATAGTATTTGTTCTCTAATTTTAATTTCTAGTTTCTTTTTTTCTTTTTCTTACAACCAATTAGCTATCAAAGTCAATGATTTATTGTATTGATGTTACATATAGTCGTTAAAATTCTTTGAACACTTAGCTTCTATTGATAATCAAATAAATTGCATAACAAAAATGATTGGTTTTTTAGGTAATGTTATGTTCATTCATTTTCAATCATAGACATGTAAATGTATACATAAATATACTGAGCAACATATGAAACATAAATTGATTGGTTAAAATTCAAATTGAATATAAATGTAACTGTGTTCTTAAATCTATTGTGTACATTTAAATTTTCAATATCAACATTCTAATCTTGATACTTTATAGTATTTTTTGAAAAATAAACATCCATTAATAATAAAATAGTTCAAACTTATCTTGTGAATAATTTTTTTTTGAAAAGTAAATTAAAATTATCTACTGAAACTTTCACTAAATATATTAATTACTTAAAATTTCAATAAAACATCATTAAATTGGATAATGATAAATAATGAAAGTAATTTAGTTACACACACTTTTATATTAGATTTAAACACTCTAAATTGACATGAAGTAATGATAAACCAGGTAAAAATAATGGTAATCAAAAAATTAAACCCTAATGGTACAGGATAGAGGTCTTAAGCACATAATGGCAAAAGTATAGTATGTGTAGAGAAAATATGATCTAACCTTCATCCCTTCTGTATAAATTGTCTTGAAAGTAAAACATTAAAAATGCCAAAATTTATGAAGGAAAATAGAATAATTTCTTTTATATTACATCAAACAATTATTGCAAAGTTAGAAATATTAATTTGTTTAAAATGTTATATTTTATTACAATCTAGCTCCTGACTATATTCTCTTGAAAATTTTATGTGGTCTAGGACTTAAACAAGAAAAAATATCAGTATGATGCCAATGATGCAAGGTTTGGGGCAAGGTTAATAAACACCTACAAATTTATGTAGTAGATGGTAAAACTTACAATGCCTACAAAAGAGAAGGACTCACATGAAAAGTGGCTATTTTTTTATTTTAATAAACAAATAATCCATTTTTAATGTTATAGTTGGAGGAGAGTTTTTATTTATTAAAACTTTGTGTTTGATATCTTTAATCACATAGTTAGACCTCTTAATATATGGTACAAAGTTAAAAAAATGTTATTGATATTGATTTGAAAAATACAAATTTGTATGGCCAATATTGGAATTTCTGTGTATCTTGTACATGTATTTGGTTTCTTATACTTGTGTATCCTCTCAACATCAAAGAGAGAGAAAAGAACAATCTTTGTAATTTTATAAGAATAATGAATAAACCAAGCAATTTAACATGAAAGGTATCTAACTAGTAACTCAAAAATTTAATTTCACACTTCATACATGGATGAGAAGAAATTCCAATATTAGTCGTGGTTTTGCCTTACTTGTTGCCTATATACCATCCATGTGTGCAAGTCGGGCAAAACCATGACTAATATAAATAATGTAAGGTTCAATGTTGAAATCAATGGCTAAGAGGGTTGGCGCTAGTGGCAATGGATTATAGTGGTAGTGAATCATGATGGGATTGATCTGGTGTTGAGATTGATACTTGCAATATGTGCAAGAGATTATTTATGCTAATATAATATTTTTGCTCATTTATATGTTGCTTAATTGCTTCTTTCTAACTCTTTGCGTAAGCTCTTCCATTGCTTTGGCAAATGCTCTCTTGCCTTTCTATTCCCCTTAGTCCTAAGTTCCAATCTTAGCAAGGAAGTGCACACAAAGACAAGCATACAAAAAATTTGTTGAAATTGCCCAAAATCTATTCATGAATGAAAATAAATAAATAAAAATACTGTAGTATGAGGTAGGTAGATATGTATGTATATATATATATATATATATATGACTTGGCCAAATACAAGAAAATATATTACATTGATGTTAGAATGTATCAAAAACTGTCTTGAATTTCTTTTATGCAATTATCTAGCCAGTTTCTTTGTTTGAAAGTTGAGCTTATGGTGGACATCCTTCATTGGTCTAAAAAGGCTTTCAAAATAATTTAGGCCCCATCTAAGGTTGTATGTTTAATTTTAAGTTTGTCTTTGCATTTTTAGTTTAGTTATTTTATTTCACATTGTTTCTAGTTTATCATTTGTTGTGGTTTTGATTGCAAATAGTATTGAAGCATGTCTATTGTTGATTTGATTATTTACTTAAATGGCTGTACTTTACTCACATCTTCAAAAGAACACAAAACAAAAATGCACCAAGCAACTCGCACAAAAATTGAATGAGGCATTGAATGCTTGGGGAATGTTGCCACTAGAAGATTTCATACACTTATGTATTGTAAATGTAATAGAAATAAAAATAAATAAATAAAAATAAAGCATATATATATATATATATATATACACATTTCTCTCTCTAGAATGCTCCCTCTCTCTACAAACACAAGGAAACTATGGATTAGGGGAGCGGAGGCTGGTAGTGAGTCACAGCTCTTATCTGAATTTCATTCATCCAAATCAACAGATGAATCTCGAGGGGTTCGTCGCCCCCGGAGCCTCTGGCTCAAAACCCTTTGATCCGCTTGTAAGCCGGAAGCTGAGCCTTTGATCCGCTTGTAAGCCGGAAGCTGAGCCTTTGATCGGCGCTGGAGCTTCAATTAGCGTCGCAATTGGGTTTCGCAGCTCTCATCTTGGTAGCTGTGGAGAAGCGCTTTCCTGCGAGTGCTTGTGCGTCCCGAACGGCTGATTGAGCAGGAAGCATGAGGTCGTAGTTGGGTTTGAGCTCGCACCTGGAATTCTCTCAGGTGGAGTTTGTAAGGTTTGTTTTCGTGGCCGTGTTTTGGATTTTACATTTTGATCCGTCGAGGGTTGTTGTGGTGGTGGTGGGTTTTTATTTATTTATATATTTTTATTATTTATTTACTCATTTATTTTGCTGTCGCTCACTTTTCTGTTACGTTTGGTGGGAAGTCGAAGAGCAAGAGCACGAGCAAGAGCACGAGCAAGAGAAGGGGGTTCTTTGAGAGTTTTGGTGGTGGAATAATTGATTTGTAGATTGAGGAGGGTGAGTAGCAATGGCGTGCGTTCAATCGAAGGCCTTCGTGTGTAGAGCTGTGAAGAATAATGGTTTGGGAGTGCAGTCGCGTGAGTCCCACCATGTGACTATGTTGGAGCCTAGAGTTGGGCAATTTCAGCCGTCGTCTTCGGGTTTCTCCTCCACCTTTGTTGTTCCTTTTGCTAGACGTAGGAATAATGTCCAGAGGATGAAGGCAGGAGAGGTTGCTCGTGGCGCGCTTATCCAATGCAATGGCTCAGCTCTCAGGAAAAGGCCTCAGTACGTTCCTAACAGAATCGATGACCCTGCTTATGTGCGGATTTTTGACACTACATTGCGAGACGGAGAGCAGTCCCCGGGGGCTACAATGACGAGCAAAGAGAAGCTTGATATTGCGCGACAACTGGCCCGTCTAGGGGTGGATATCATTGAAGCAGGCTTTCCTATTGCTTCTCCTGATGACCTTGAAGCAGTGCGGCTAATTGCTAAGGAGGTTGGGAATCAGGTGGATGAGGATGGTTACGTTCCTGTGATTTGCGGTCTGTCTAGGTGCAACAAGAAGGACATTGACGCGGCGTGGGAGGCTGTGAAGTACGCAGTTCGACCTCGAATTCATACATTCATTGCCACCAGTGAAATCCACATGGTACACAAACTTAAAAAAACTCCCGATCAGGTTGTTCAAATTGCCAGGGACATGGTGGCCTATGCGCGGAGCCTGGGCTGCGAAGACATTGAATTTAGTCCCGAGGACGCTGGCCGTTCCGATCCAGAGTTTTTATACAGGATTCTCGCAGAGGTCATCAAGGCCGGTGCCACCACTCTCAATATCCCAGACACTGTGGGCTATACATTACCGAGTGAGTTTGGTAGTTTGATTGGCAAGCTGAAAGCCAACACCCCAGGTGCAGAAAAAGTGATTTTCTCCACTCATTGTCAGAATGATCTAGGACTCGCTACAGCTAATACTCTGGCAGGTGCGCATGCCGGGGCTCGGCAAGTAGAGGTGACAATCAATGGAATCGGTGAGCGTGCAGGCAATGCCTCTCTCGAGGAGGTTGTGATGGCATTGAGGTGTAGGGGCCAGGAGCAGCTCGGTGGTTTGTTCACGGGTCTTAACACGAAGCACATCGCTGTAGCATCCCGGATGGTTGCTGATTACACAGGTATGGTGGTGCAACCTCACAAGGCCATTGTCGGTGCAAATGCGTTTGCTCACGAGAGTGGAATTCATCAAGATGGGATGTTGAAACACAAAGGGACGTACGAGATTCTTGCTCCAGAAGACATTGGCCTAGTTCGTGCGGATGCCTCGGGGATTGTTCTGGGGAAGCTTAGTGGGCGCCATGCCTTGAAACAGAGGCTGAATCAGCTTGGTTACGAGATAGACGGTCAGGACTTAGACGATGTGTTCAAGAGGTTCAAAGCCGTTGCTGAGAAGAAGAAGAACGTATCAGACGACGACCTAGAGATTCTACTCTCTGACGAGGTTTTCCAGCCCGAAACCTTGTGGTCTGTAGGTCTCATTCAGGTAGTATGCGGCACTTCGGGACTATCTACCGCCACGGTGAAGCTCGTAGGCCCTGATGGCGTTGAGCACATTGGAATGTCAGTGGGAACAGGTCCAGTGGACGCTGCTTACAAAGCAGTGGATACCATTGTGAAAGCTCCAGTGACCCTCTTAGAGTACTCGATGCACGCCGTGACTGAGGGCATTGATGCCATTGCGCACACAAGAGTCCAGATCAGGGCACTGGATCCTCTTACGGTGACGAATCCCCAAACGGGCTCACAAGTTCCTCGATCATACAGCGGCACTGGTGCAGCTGAAGACGTCGTTGTGTCCAGTGTTCGTGCCTATATTAGCGCCCTAAACAAAATGCTTACCTTCAGAGTAGCGAAACATCATGCTAAGGGAGCCAACAGAAGTGAGGTGCATGCTGCAGGTGTATCTTCTTAACACCCGTTTTCTGGCTCTACAGGCTTTTTTAGATTTAACGGCTTCATCTGGATACAAATCTTGCTGGTGTCCCCCGTAGTCGAGTTCTATTATGGCTTTGTGCAATGTGATATGAGTATGTGCTTTTCTGTACATCACAAGGGAGAGTCTAATGTAGGGATAAGACTATCAGCTGGTGTTCAATCTCATAGCTTTTTCCATCTTCTGGAAGATACATACTGCATTGTGAGGCTGAATGTTGGAAGACTTATTAAGGCGTTCATTTAGGGAGCTGGATTTTTTCGCATTGCTCGCTAGCTTTCTTTGGAACAAGAGTGCAGATATAATGTAATTTGTTTTTCATTACATGATTGTGATGTGATTAAGGTTCAGCTTCTTTTATCAATGGATTGCTGGTCTCATTCATTCACATTTTGGGGATACTAGCTGGACAAGTGATATGGTAGAAGCTATATTGACAGAGGGTCTTCATCATGCATTCTTTCATAGTCATCAGTTTTTGGGCAATGACATATGTCTAATTTCAAGTAATAAACTGGGTTTTTTTGTGATTCTGCAGTACACTGATAAAGTTTGTACCTTTAAAGATTATCTAAAACTTAAACAAGAGTAAATGCTAATTTTTGAAACGATGTAAAAATAGCTTCATTCAATTTTAAAATGTTTTATAAGGATTCAATCAAGGTTATCTTATTTGAAACAAGATTACTAAAGATTGCAAGATTATCATTCTACATTATTTTTTATTTGTAACATTAGGGTATTATGAGATTATACCTAATGTTACAAAAAAAAGAGAATCTGCAATATACTCTTTTATCATTGAAGAGAACTAGAAAGTTACTCAAAAGATGATGTAATATTAATTAGAATGGCTATTTCCAAAAACAAGAAGTCTAGAAAGTCTTGAAACAAGACTAAGACTAGAAAGGCATTAACAAGAGTGAAGAAGGGCTTTATTCTTGCCTACATATATACTATCTAACTAAGAGCTACGTGGCGATGTCATATAGGACCTCCAACATGTGTTGACTTTGTTAGCCACATGTCTTATCTTGCAAGGCAAGTTATCTACGTATGCGCCACGTAGTTGGCTTGTTTTACAAGCTACTATACGGAGATAACTTGTTCCACAAGCTACCAATACATGGTTAGTTTTTTGGCCAAGTTTCTAACCTACAAATACATCTAAAGTCAAAACCGCGTCTATCAAGCTTCTAGGAAGCTTCTCTAGAAGACTATATGAAATTATTCTATATTTACCTACTTCTACTTAATCATATAAATAATTATTGAGGTAAATATATATGTCCGTGACATAGAGGCACATCAAACCTCCATCATTTGTTTCATTATGGCAATGCCTTGTTTTTTCATAGGACGAGGAAATATTAGATGAACACTTCTATATTTCTAATCTAGTTCTCATCTTTGAGAACCTACAAATATAACCATATTTATATAATTCTTTTTGATGTTCTATCCATTAATAATCAAAATCTATATTGATTAGGTTCTTGTTCTTTTATTTTATATCAAACATTGTATATGCGTGTCTATGTTCACATGGTATTAAAGCAAGTGATTGGATGAGTAGTAGCGATAGAATGTGCTTTGTAAAATATTAGCTAGCCATTATTATATAATATGACAAATAAGATATGGATTCAATAGTAGCAACTAACAAGATATTGGCAGTTTGTGAGAACTTCAAGGCATGGCACAATACCATTTAGAGTGTTCTTGAGAAGAAAGACTTGTCGGATATCCAATCATTAGATCAATCTTATAACAACTCATGAGAAATATTAGACACTAGATAAAATTTGGATAACAAAGAAAAAATACAAATACTAGCTTGTTCTAATACTTGTTCTAAACTTGTCAATTAAAAAAAGTTAAAAAAAAAGAGGACCAAAGCCATGTATTTCTTATGCCTATTCATCTTAGATATGATAAAATCAAATATTTGAAAGATCTCGGATCTAATAAAAGCATGGAGAATGTTATCCAAATTCTACTTGACTAAAACCATTGCCAAGACCATGCTTGTACTGGACAAGTGGAAAAATCTAAAGTGATGGACAATATGACGATTGCTTCTTTTATGCATGTAGTTTATGAATTTATCAATGATCTATGTGAAGTCAAGCAACTGCCCTTAAATTTAGTCATTATTCAAAAGATCCTAAAGATCCTACTTTCTTGTTTTGAAATCCTTATAATGATTATTTGAAATAAAATCAATCCTCTCACTTTCAGTAGTCTTGCTAATTGTCTCAACATGGAAGAAATAGAGATGAGATTGTATACTAACCTTTAAGAGGAGGCAATTGTCTTTTGAATCCAAAATACAATTTGAGGTCAACATTGCCTATGAACTTTTAAAAATCTTTGATACTTTAATGGTCAATGTCATTAATAAAGAATGGAAGACAAAAAGTGTCATCAATGCCATAAACTAAGACATTTAATATAAGACTATCTACTACCAATTCTAGTAGCAACATCAAGAAGAAGTCAGTTCAATAATTAAGCTCATCCTATGGAAAACTATCTAAGTGAGTAATATATACTTACCTCCAACATGATTTAGAATGCATTAAATGTATTATCTCTTTGTTCATTCTTTGAAGCAAATTGAGTCATTGATACTAGGGCTTCTAAGCACTTTTCTAGAAATTTAGAATAATTCTTTTCTTTAAAAAAATTCTTGCAATGCCTTAGCATAAGAACAATAGATAGATACATCCATATTTTCAAAAGACAAGGAGAGGTCTTTCTTCCAAATCATTCATCGAACATTAATAAGCTTTGCAATATTCTTTATATCTCTAGTTTCAAGTACAATCTCATGTTGATGGAACAATTTGTTAAAAATAATGATAGTATTATTATATTTAAAAAAGAATTATGCTATGTTCTTACTAGTACTAATTCTTCAAAATTGACTATCATAAGATGTTGGAATGAAAAAATACAATTTTATAAGCCAAATTATACAAGAAATAATTTATCCATGAAAAATCACAGTATAATGTAAGTGAATAATATTTATGGTAATCTCTCAATACTAAAAACTCTTGATATTCTAGTTCATTCTAAAATATAGACTTTATTAGATTTAGACTCAAGGCTTTCTTATCTAAAGCACTATAGACTTAGTCATGTAAACTTTCAAATATTAATCAATATGGCAATAGAAAGTAGTCATTATGGAATACCAAAATTTATAGTAAAACTTGTAGTTTTTCAATACTATGCTATGGAAAAACAAATGAGAGAATCCATTCTCAAAAAATCACATATTAGAAACACTCAAATTTTGAAGTTGATTCATGCTAACATTTGTGACTGTCTTTTAGTTTCATTGATAGAAAGAAATATTTTTTTTTTGCTCTTGATTAACAATTGTAGTAGAAAAATATAAATATAATTTTTGAAGCAAAAGAACCAAGCTCTTCAAAAATTTATTGAATTTAAAAATAGAGCTAAGAAATAAATTAGAAGGTACATGAAATTTTTACAAATGGATAGGAGTAAGGAATTTTTCTTTGTAGCATTTTCAGATTATTTAGAATCTTATAGAATTCTACTACAACTAACACAAGACTATACTCCATACTAGAATAATGTTGTTAAAAAATTGAATTGAACTATTCTAAGTAAAGTTAAAACTATGCTAGTATCGAGACATCTTCAAATTCAACTGTCGCTAGATTAAGATAAATAGTTCTTCTTTTTCTCCAAAAGAAAGATTCTTTGATAAACAAACTTATTTTAATCACCTCAAGACAATTGGAACTTTTTTTTTATGTGTACATTGACGCTTATGCAAGGTACAAATTAAAACCTTGAATTATTGCAAGTTATTTAGTAGACTATAATGACTGTTGTAAAGCTTGTAAGATCTACTTATCTTTGACTAATAAGATTGTTGTATCAAATTATATCATCTTTGAAAAAATAAAGATTCATCGTTGTCGTAATACGTGAAGTCTTGCTTGAGAATGCTCTGGGCTCTTGGCTGTGGAAGGTAGAATATAAATTGCAACAACAAAATCCTAACTCTAATAGAATACTAACTAAAATCTAATTAAACCATAACAATGTTAAACAAGTTTTAATTAAATTCAAAGAAACTTCAAAAGAATTACAAAGAAACAATAAGAAATCTTAAAGAAATATTAGAATGATCACAAATATATCTCAAATACATCTCAATTCAATCTTAATTCAATCCTAGTTAAAATCCTATTGAACTTCATTCAAACTTTAGGCCAAAAACTAACTAAAACTTAAACTCAAACAAACCCTAATAAAATCTTGAATCCTAAATCAAATCCTAACCAAATCCTAAATCCTAAATCAAACTCTAATAAAATCCTAAATCAAATCCTAAATCCTAAATCAAATCCTAACCAAATCCTAAACCTTAAATCAAATCCTAATCAAATTCTAAATCCTAAATCAAACCCTAGTAATTCCTATAATAATTTTAAACCTCAATTATTAATGAATGAACTATTAATTTTAACTCAAAATTTGCACACTTCTTAAAAATTAAATTGACAACAAGTACTAAAAAATTTTAAAAGGATCAAAATTACCAAATAGACGATAGCCTCAAAAATGTGCTTGGATATTGGGCAGTTTTCTTCTCTAACCTTGATGTCAATCTCCTTGAGTCAATATCTTTTTTTTTTTTTTTTTTTTACCTTTCAATTGATCTTCAAATTCTCATATACATAGATAAACAAGTCTTATATTCTTATACATAAATTTCACTCCAATCCAATTAGTAGATTATAAGAAATCTTAAAAATCCTTATTAGACTTAAAATTCTACTTTCTGAGACCTTAACCCTTTTAAACCTCAATAATCCTCAATTCAATTATTAGATCAAGTTAAGATTTACAACACATATTAAGCACAACTATGACCATTAATCCAAAAAAAATTCACCTATAGATCTATTACAAAACTCTTGAAATTGCCCAAAACATCAACTCTATTTTATTTTACAAAATCCAAGTCATTCAAAAACAAACTTGACTTTGTAAAGCTCTTAAAAATTAATTATAAATCCAAATTGTCCAAAACTAATGCTCATGGATACCCTATCCAATTTTCTATCAAATTTTACTCTGTGATCTCCAAAAGAATCCTTGAGTTGCCGTAGGTACTCAGTTTTATGCCTCAAGGTCTGATTTCGATCCAAGTTGATAACCGGCCCTCCTTGGATATCAATATCTAATTTTTTTAAATAAATTTTACTAGAATTAACTTTTAACTTCCTTCTAAAGATGTCTATATTATTTATTTTTCCAATCTATCTTATTTTACCTTATTTATGGCCATATAAAATAAATAGAAGTCATTTT